CTTCTTTATTAGTAAATATAATACATATTTATTTAAATATGGTCTCTCACAATTCTTCTTTATTAGTAAATATAATAAATATTTAAATCTCTCGCAATGTTCTAACGAGTAAACCTAGGCACTAGTAGACCTAATACCCCAACAGGCACGGCGGTCACGGGCGATCTCCCAGTCCGCGGTTCGACAGTCGCAGTGACAGAAGATAGTACGCCGACGGGTCCTGCCACTACGAAAGGCGATGGAATTTGGCCCAACACCACATCGCCCTATGGCGGCCCTGCCGTAACCGGAGGGACTACTCACGATGGTGGTAACGCCGCAACCACGGCTTTGCCTGGTAATCCAGACATGACCGGAGGAGGTACACAAGATGGTGGTGCTGTGCCAACACTAACAAGCAATCCCGCAACTCCAGCGCAGCATACTACGCCCCCTGCAGAGGATCCAGTCCCAACGAACGAGTCTGCGACTTTAGGTAATGGTTCCAAAACTAGCTCTACGGGGATGGTTACCTCAATCAGGTCTGTGGACCACGAAGCTCCAACATGTACATGCCACGCGGGTTGAGGAAGGTATCTTGTATACAAGACCATATATTAGAGTTTTTAGTCTCGTCGTATAGTACACACACACACACACACAATATATTCCGCCCGGTGGAGACTCCTCCAATAGGGCAACTATCAGTCTGTGTTACATAACCATTTCCCAAAGTATGTCTTTGTCTCATGATAGCCCTTCCATCAGAACAATCTATTTCCGGCTCATTGTCATTTGAAGTCTTATCATACTACGGGTTCTCACGCATTGGGTGTTTATTATCCGCAGGCTCGCTTGGAGCCACTCCTCCAAGTGTTCAACATCCTATCTACGGCAGCTGAAGCGGCGCCAGCTTGATATGGCATGAGGTGAAGGTTGGTGTTAGATGGGAGGTGAGAAAGTTGGTTTTGGGGGGTGGGGGTGTGGTCGTTGGTTGTCAAGGCGGCCCGTGGCCTTGACAAAACGGATTGTTGCCCGCACGGCCGCCATATTTGGTTTCCACTTCGTTCCATCCATTGGTGACTTGCCTCCTAGATAGAATGAAGTGTTGCCTCGATGTTTCTCCGTACATTGGAGCATTTCTTTTCTGTGCATCGTCCATTTGTTGCATCTAAACAAGAAGTGTGCCACCGTTTCCCTCTCTGCGCCACAATCACACTGATCTGACGCCGATTGCTTGATTTGATACAAATAATTCTTTAACGCGGACATGCCTGTTCTCAGCTGGGCTAGCGCGTTGCGTTCTTTCCATGGTCGTTCGTCGTAAAGTAGCACAGTATGTTCCCCAGGCAGGGCCGCATCTATTCTTTTGGAGTGTTTACCGACCTTCTCCGGTATGTATCGTTCAGCCTTTAGCTTTCGTCTTTCAATGTTAAACGTTGTAGATCGCATCCTCGGGAACTGTTTCTGTGGCACGGCCCCGTCCTTGGTCGCCTCGCGTGCCTCACCCTTGGCCAGCTTTAACAGTTCATTGTCATCGCTCCCAGGGATCCACTCGATGGCCACTCTGTTACCCTTTTCCCGCAGCTTTTCTATGGCTTCGTAGATCAATTGCATATATTCCTGCCCTGACTGTTGGCGGGGGTTTCCAAGGCTAAGCACGGCTGCTTTGTTACTTGTCACAACGGCCACGTTGCGGTCTCTAATCATTGGTAGGGATCGCAGAGCATATGCCATTGCCGCCAGCTGTCCCGAGTATGCATTTTGCTCCGTCCGGTGGCCGAATGTAAAAGAGAAGACCTCACGCTTTGATATTCCCCGTGCCGACGTGGGTATTTGCGATACTCCACCAGCACCGACCACACCATTCCGCGCTGAACTACTTACTGCCAATTTCACGCTCCATCCAGCGGTGGTCCGCTCTTTTGTTTCGTCTGTGTGGGACAAAAAAACCTTCCGCTTTTGCAAACCAATT